GCGCTGCTTCCTGGGCGAGGCCTGCACCATGGGCCAGTTCGACCACGCCAACGTCATCCGCCTGGAGGGCGTCATCACCAGGGGTGAGGGTCATCATTGGGGTCGGGGTCATCATTGGGGTTGGGGTCATCATCAGGGGTGAGGGGGTGCAAGGGATGGGCTCAAGCTGTTGTGTTGGAGCGGTGACCCGGGGGTGCAGTACTGTCACTGTCTGGAAATCGGGTGTTTCCTCATGCATTGGCTGTTTTAGCAATCTGATGATTAATAAAATGCTTACAGCTAAGCATTTAATATGAATAAATCCAGGTAGTAAGACCTACAGTTGAGCAGCAAAGCTGTGCACCCCTAGTGAAAGCAAATTGAAGTGAGGTTGTGCCAGTAAAACAGAGCTCTGACCGCCCCCAGCTCTCGTGGGAGTGTGCGCTGACCTGGTCTGTGGGCGCTGTAGTTAAATGTATTCGTGTAAATCCAAAGAAACGGGAGCACGTGTGCTGGTTTAAATGAAGGCAGCAGTTCTGTCCCGAGTCTTGGGTTGAGCTGCTTGCTTTTGCTTTTGTGGAGCGGTGCTGTGCTCCCTTGGGCTCAGTGTCCTGATTAGAGGAGCAGCTGATACTGGGATCTGGTGGTTCCCAGCTGGGAATCACAGAAAAGCCTCAGGCCACTGCAAACTGGGGTAAATTCTGGGTCTCCTTGGGTAGCAGTGCAGGCTGCCCACGCTGCAGACCAGCACCCGGATTTTAACAGCTGCAGAGGTAGAAAAGCCTGCAGCAACTCACTGCCCTCGTCTGTCCCTGCAGGGAGCACCATGATGATCGTGATGGAGTACATGGGCAACGGGGTGCTGGACGCCTTCCTCAGGGTGAGCACTGGGGCTGGCGGTGACCACAGGGCCCTGCTCCTCCACTGGGGCCCTGCTCACCCGCGGCTCTGCCTCCTCTCTCCGCAGAAGCACGAGGGGCAGCTGGCAGCCGCCCAGCTCGTCTGCATGTTGCAGGGCATTGCCTCGGGCATGGCGTACCTGGCGGAGATGGGGTACGTGCATAGGAGCCTGGCCGCCCACAAGGTGCTTGTGAACAGCAGCCTGAATTGCAAAATCACCGGCTTCAGGCGGCCTCAGGAGGACAAGATGGAGACCATCTTCTCCACCATGGTGAGCTGCATTTCCAGACTCTGTTGTCAGCATTCCCCCAAAGCAAAATGCTGTCAGAGCCCAAACCTGGGCAGGGGGGGATCTCTGGCTGCAGTGCACGGCCATGGCCCACAGTGCTGGGGCTGGGTCACTGGTGAGGGTGACCCAGATGTGGGGTGAGGAGCAAATGCAACATCAGCCGGCTTCTGCAGGCACTGTTAATGAGAGACACAGCAACCCTGCCCCAGGAACAGCACTTTTTGTGGGCTTTCACTTCCTTCTTCATGGAAGACGCTGCACCTGAAAGGTCTTACTCACAGAGGAACCAGATGTGTTTAGTTGGTTCCTCAGTCCAAGGAGCACTTGCTGCCTGGGCAGGGCCGAGGGGAGGCGCTGCCTGCAGGGACCAGGGCAGGGCATGGGCGCGATGCCCCTTGCCTGATGTGGCCGGTGCTGCCTGCGCAGCCGTGGCCCTGCCCTTGTCCCTACCCCTATCTCCGTCCCTCTCCCTGGCCCTGTCCCTGTCCCTGCCCTGGTCCCGCTGTGGCCGCTGTGCCGCAAAGCCCAGCAGAGTTTCCCTGGCGCTGGTGAGGGGTGGCGAGCCCAGCGGGAGCCCTGGGCAGCAGGGCTGTAACCCTGTGGTCAAGGTCTCCCCACTGTTAATCACAATTAGCGGCAGTGTCTGTCACCTGCTTCCCCTCGTGCATCCCAGGGCCTCTGCCGAGACAGGGATTGCTGATTACAGGAGAGCAAGCCAGGCTGGAGCGACTGTGTGCTTGTGCAGTTCTGAAACAGTTTTCATTAAATATTAAGGTATAAAATGCCATCATCTCTTCCCAGAGACGCTCTCCTCCCATTAATATTTCAGGACTCGCACTCCCATGTAGCAGTCGGTCGCACGGCCATTTTAAAACAAATTGAGGCAAGGGTTTCTCTTGGTACTAA